TATATTTATTTGAAATTAGGGTTAATTGATATTTTATGCTTTATTAATTTAATCAAACGAGAGACTCGGACACATTGTTTTAAAAAAAACTTTCTCAACAATTAAATTTTATTAAAAAAATTCTAAATAAAAATTATAATTTCACAGTAGGTAATCAATAAGTAAGCTTATGCATATTATCTATCCTGAAAAATTGAAATTATTATTATTTATATAATAATAGCTCTTATTTGGAAATTGATATTTTAATGTCTAATACTCTAATACATCCCCCGCCATACCTAAGCTTTGGTGGCACATAACTTATACTTAATAAAATGACTCATTTTGATTTTGTATTATGTATTTTTATGTGTACAATCTTTTGTCTACATTATAGAAATATAAAACTATCATACGGACAATTACAATGGGTATTCCGCATAAGGTTTTGCCTCAAGTCAAATATGGTTTCATCTTTGATACAATATTATATCCTCGGTTCCATACTTTTATCCCGTTGGCGATAAAAACAGTTTGAATGATAATAGGTACTTACCTATACCTAGTACCTACATAAAAAATGTAGAAAATATACTTACCTACATCGTAACTTATTATTATTATTAAGTCGATATTTTGTAATTTAATATTGTACATATTATAACTTATGGTATATTAATATATTATACATATAACTATTGTATAGTAGGCAAAATTGTTCATTTAGATTTGTGATCTTTGCAATAATATACATGTTATAGTATTATACAGTACAGTATACCTATAGGTAGGTAGACGGTATGTGTGACTACTCCATGTATCTACAATGTCATTGATAAAAAAAATATAATAATTTGATTACCACGATTATCACCAATCTAAAATCTTATTGAAATTATTTCTAATATTATTTTATAAGGTTGCTATTAATCACTGCTGCAGCAGCAGCTGCGACTAATGTGATTATGATTTGCGGTTTTAATACTTCAAGCTCACATGCGGTTTAAATGGGTAAAACGACAAACGAGTATAGAATTTAAATAGATTTAAATTTTAACTTAAACGCAAAATAGAATTTAAACGATAATTATTGTTTTTATTAACTGCTGGTTGAATAAATAAAATTGTGTCATACATACCGATCAACTGAGAGATGTGACAGCCGACAGGTAGGTACATATTATTTGGCCTTGCCAATATGTTCTACTTGTCTGTACTCTGTATAGTCTGTACATCATACGAGTGTCAAGCGGTTGCGGTTAAACATTCTCCACATGGCATCCATTAACACTTTTTACAGTTCAAGAAAAATAGATAAATACGCTTTTATTATAAATGGATTTTATTTTTATGTTACGTGACTGTACAAATATAGTATGTACCTACCTAAATAGTTTTTATAGCAAAAAATACTGTAAAACTTATCGACGAAATCCAATAAAATTATAATAATATATTTAAATATATACCATATAATACATGGATCAGATTATAATATATATATATATATATATAGGTACTAAGGTACTTATATATTTAAGACAAAATGTCGTTAAATAATAATTTTATAACTAATAAGCTGTATATTCCATTGCATAACATATTATAGCGAGACTAAAATACAAAAATAATTTAAACAAGCAATTAATTAATTTTACACGTACTATTTTAAAAAGGCAAAAATGTGAAGGCTTCTTGATTTAGAATTATAATGACATTATTATCATTGATTAGTTAATAAATTGAAAACGATTTCCCTACACGGGCTACACGTACAATGATATTTACAACAAAATATTACAGAAGTGCAAAAAAAAAAATACATATAATAAACCATAACTAATATATAACCATATAGGCATATAGCCAGATAGAAATACTTTATTTTCCGGTCATCAACAAGAATAAAAGTGGCCATAACCTCCATATTTAGAGTAGAAAAACTTCAAGGTTCGGTAATATTTAATTTAAAATTATATTCTTCACTGGACTATAATAAGGACCTCGGAAATGCCAAAATATTCGTCTGAAAACTTCATGGTGAATCTACAGCTTAATAATGTAATATAAAGGTACAATAATAATTATGACGTGTCTATATGCTTATGCCTTGAGACAAACAAAAATATAACAATAGGTAGGTAGTCGAAAACTGACGTAGCTTTGAGCAATGTGTATTATATTATAATTTATAAAATGAGTCTGAAAATTTTAATTAGGTGTACATATATTCATGTAAATGATTGAAGAATAATTACACTCGTGTAATAATAATATGTTAACAATAATAACTATGATAATAGAACTTGAATAGTAGTTTTTTTTATTTTTTAATGTCTGCAAACAAATGTGTCTAAAAAGCTGAACATTATACAAATTCATTTAACAAGTATATTCACTGTAGCTATACCTACCACCGTTTTATTTTATTTTATTTTAGTTAGTTCGTAATCGGAAAAATTCTAATAATCTAAATATATTATCTATTTGAACACAAGTCAATGGAATAGGGAGGGGGCTAGGTGGGCTGCACTGGAAATTTCAGGAAACTTTCAAAATGCTTTCAGTGATCTGTGAACTTATTATGTAAGACGTAATTAGGTATGTATTAAAATTGTAATTTGTATGAAGGTTGCTGTAAAAATTTTAAATATTAATACCTACCCACGGCATCAGCATTCCAAACTTAAGAATGGATTCTAGTTAAGCTTAAGACTCCTCTAAATAACAAATTATCAGCCCCCACTCCACCCCCAGCCAGTGGCGACGGGATATAGGACTATTTGAAGCAATTGCTTCATGTCAGAAATGGGTGGGTGGGTGTATAAGTATATTTATAATCGTAAGACCTCAACACAAACATCATGGTAAATATTTTAATTAATAATTATTAATGGCCCCTGCTGCTAATTTTGGTTCAATGAAGAGTACGGTGGTAAAAATATTTAAAATATACAATATGCTTCGAAATCTCCACAATTTCGCGCCGCCACTGCCCCCAGCAAATACCTACAGACAATGAGACTCTCTTACATAACTTAGGTGCACTTTTCAAACGTACAAATCTCAAAATAACTAGCAGTATTGAATAAACTTGAATTTTAGTTTTTTGTAAACTATAAAAAATAAAAATAATAAATATAATTTTTTACGTTGAACAAATATTTATTATGTTGGTTATTTCAGCTAAATGTAGCCCGTAGATTCACCTGATCATTAATTTGTGTACCTTTATCAGTGGATAAGAACATTTTTTATATGATTTTTAACTACTATTTAGATTCAACAGAAAAATATACATTACTATAACACAGCAATTATTCATTTAATATACTGCAATAGATCAGACGAAATATTAATTTTAAGAACTATAAACTACTATGAGTTATGAATTTGTGGCTTTTTATATCATGTCCACTATATATTATGTGATTCCATTATTCTAAGCATAGAATAATACAAGTCGACTGTGGTTACTAGCTATAGACTATAATAATGTTGTCTCTCATACCGCATCTTAAATACCCGACCTTCAAGTAGGTACTTACCTGCTTATTTCACGGCTATTTTTTCATGTTGAATCAAATTAAAATAGACAAAAAATTAAAACTAGGTACAAGTACATACAAATTATTAATTAATATATCTTTCTTTGTCCGTTGAAGACTCAACAACTACTGGACCGTATTTGATAAAAGTTACATCAATAAATTACTTGAGACTGAAGCGTCTGTATAGCTTCATATTTCAATCCTATCGGGTCGCTATTAGGATGGCTCATACATGAATGTTGTTTTGTCTGTCGAAAATTGAATTTTTTTTTGTTTATAATTTTATATAATATTTTATATTGGATTGACATTCATTACAGATACTATTAAAATAAAATAGTTATTACTTATTGTCTTATTGTGATAGCCGATTGGATATTATAATTTTCAGCATTGTATATCTTGTCATTTAGGATATAATAATATATAGTTATATCCTAAATAAATGTAAAATTGAGTAATAGCTATTGTATAACACATAAAAGCCAAAAAATATGGTTTATAATATAGGCAATCATAATATAGTCGACCGATTTTGACAACAAATAATATTGAGAATATTTAAACTGAAGAAAAACAGAAATGATAGCTAAACAAATTATAATAGATAGTCGGATTTCATAGGATATTATATTATTATTAGTCGGGTTGTATCCAAATGACGCATAATGCATATTACAGTTCTTAACCAATTTGCCCCAAAATGTGTACATATATTATTCGGGATCCCAGGCGGGTAAGAACTAGAGTAGTAGAATGGAAGCCATTGGTAACAGCTTTATGTGTATGGCTGAAACGATTTTGACGATTCGAGGAAGGTATTGGTTTGTGAATTGTGGATAATAGATTGAACCAGTTATTTTAGCGTGGTTCAACCATAGGCGCAATTTTAACTTTTGACTTGGGGGGGGGGGCTGAATATATAAAGGCAAGCAGACCATTGCAATGTGGCATATTAAAATTGTATGTACTAGGTTTTATGGGGGAGGGCTTAGCACTCCCCCAGCCTCCAATTTGCGCCGATGGGTTTAACCGCTATAAATAAGTCATAACCGCACATTTGTTTATTTCTGCTTGCAATTGGTTACACATACGACGTACCTAAAGCCTCGTCCAGACCAAGAAACATTTGTTGGAAACATATTTTTCTGATATTGTCGTCGACAAATGTTCATGCTTATTACAGAAAATTGTCGACGAAAAGTTTTTCTTTGGACTAGACTTAAGAAAAAAAGTCAACTATTAGTTAATATACTATCCGCCGTAGATGGGTTGCCCTTCTCGGTTTCGTTTATCCTCAGTCAACTCAGGGTGATTTACGTATTAGAAGTAATAAATAAAACACGATCAAACGTTAATATATTATTATTTGTTATTATACACAACGAACAATGATTAAAACTTATAAATATCATTAATTGTTAAATTTCATAATTATCTATTATAGGAATAAGCTGAAAATCAATCATGGAGATCTGCGGTATAATTGATATAAAAGTACCGGCCAAAGGAAGAAAATTCGGATCGTGGAAGGTATGTCTATATTTTTGATGTTTTCATAATAAAAATATGACTCAATAATAATTAGGTATACCTTTCTTGTAAAATGTACAGCGGCCAATACGGTCAAATCATTTTCACATATTTAAGATAATATATAAAGGACCATAAACATTTCTAACAAACACAAATAGTACATTTAATAGTAAGTTCTTATTTATAATGTTCACAGGCGTGGAAAAGCCAATGGTGTGAAGTACTCAAAAACGAAAATCGTATGATCATCAACATTGGACATAGTAAGGGAAATGTTACATCGTGTTTAGCAGTACCTAACAACGCAATTATCTACCGAATTAAATCCAGGTCGATACACTTAAACATATTATTTTAATAATATAAAATGATTAAAAATAATAATATTGTACCTATACTCTATAGATATAAATGTATAATATAATATAATAGGTATTGTTACAATTCTATAATAACTTACCACTAGGTAACATCATAAGACCGGAAGAATTGAACACTCAAAAGTTGAAAAATTAAAAAAATTATTATAATAACACCAGAATTATGTAGGTATACCGTATACCTGACTACAATTTACAATTTTACTCCGTTTTTCGTTATTTTTTCGTAGCACATATAATACCTATTAATAGTTTGCATAATTTTTAAGATTTTTAATCTGAAATTTAAGAAATAGAATTAAAAGCAAAAAAAAAAGTGAAGAACCAACAAACAAAATTCTGTTCCGGTCTTGGGTTTTATTATTGTTATAACTTATAACCTTTCAAAAATGTTTTCACATTTTGATATAGGTATGATTGATGTTTTTATTTTCTCACCACTATAGGACTAAAGCCTACGGTTTTGGAATATATTATGCAGGACAAAAGGAACAACAACCATGTATTTTTCTTGCTGGAAAATCAGAAACAGAATCACAAAAATGGATGAAATCCATAAGAGATGTTTTAAAACCACCAACACATATAAGTACGAATCACGATCAACTATCTACATATTATATTGTTCAATTGTTGTATTACCTGTAATATTATTAAATTCACGTCGTTGCCCATTGGCAGCAACGTATAAAGTATTTATACAAATAACACAATACCATATTCCTACGACGCATTCATGCATAATAATTATATTTTTATAATATTATAATATAATATAGCTGATGGTTATCTGATAAATTATTGCAATTAGTTATCTCTAATTATTATAAAATGTTTGGTTGTTAAGTAATAGTTGTATTAATTTTCTTATTTACAATAGCTTAATACATTATATGGGTGTGTTCATTATGTTAATGTATTTTTAATTAACAAATGGTAGTAAGCATATGTAGATACTGACATACTGAATTAATGAAGAAACAACAATAATTATAATATGAAGCAGACCGAATAAACGCTATAAAGATATAACAATAGTTTCTTCAAAATAATTTCAACAATTTATAGGATGGGTAATGGGTTATTACTTATTAATATTACTATAGAGAAATCTCTAAACGGAATCAAATTATTTTAATGCACCACATTATGACTTTTTGAGAAATTTAAGAACCTCAAATAAATGTTCGTTAAAACTTAAAACAAACATTCACGATTGACAATTGTTTAAAACTGAATGAAAAGTTATTCTGACTAAAATCTCGTCGAAGTTAAATATTGTCATAGAAGTTATATCACTTATATCCATGCGTTGATTTGAATAAGAATATCATAAAATTGCTTGGTATATGTACAATTTAGCAAATAGGATATATCATAATATCATATATTATGATATGGAGAATATTTATATGATAATATAATATATTATGAGGACGGAGGCTGTCCAGTGACAGAACCATCTAAAGTTAGAACCTACATTTTTTTTTTCAATGTTGAATGCTTATTTATTGAATTTTTAATTTTCATTAATTTGTCACATAAATAAACGGAAAGTATAAATAAATAACAAAAGCTATACATTATTCATTGCAGAGGCAACAAACGAGTATACTGTATCGATAATTGACAACGAACATTCTAAAACGGCTGGTTTAACCGGCCTGTATGGTACTCTATCTGTAAAGTCAGAAGAAATATTGGTGACAGACCCACACACAGGAAAAATCAAAGTAACACTCCATTGGACACAAATACAATGTAGTTACTTACCTCTGCCGGCCGTATCAGACGATTTACATAGAGTGTGCACAATACGCACAAACAGGTATAATACAACACTGCTGTATATATTTAATAATAGGCACAAATATAGGCCATATTTTTTTTAGGGGGGCTCAAGTCCCCATTATAATGAATTTAAAAAAAACATTTGCGAAGCCCCTCACAACCACCAACTATTAAAGTAATTATCGAAGTACAATTACAAATTACATTCGGAGTCATTTGCAAGTTTCCTAACTCAGTATAAGAGTGTAGAGGAAGTGATCATTCACACAGATTAATAAGGATAAAATATGATGGCTTCGAACCCCTCCCCCCAACCTAAGCGCCTATGTTGCACGACTATACGCCCTGCAAGCCGTATACCTAATATTCAGAGCGTTCAGATTAACGTTTGCTTGGACGGTTTTGTTGAATTATTTTTTGCATACCATTTTTACAGCAAGTTTAAAGCGGGAGATGGTGACTTAGAACTGTACTGCACCGAAGCCGACGAGTTGCACAACGAGCTGCTGTCTTGCCCGCGACCGTTGCCCAGGATCGCCACCACGCCATTGCCGCCGACGCCTAAGGACTGCAGACAGACGCTCTACGACCATTGGTCCTCCGCCGATTCTCCTTCGACGACGCCACCAAGGCGTCTGCTGGAGTCCAGACGAATGAGCAGGAGCGAAGGCGATCTAAAGAAGTTCGTCATGCAACAATCCGCACCCACGCTGCGGTCGGCCGGTTCCCAACAACATCTCGTGCTCATGCCCCGGTCCAACGGCTTGGCGCAAAAGGTTGGTGTTAAAGGCGCTATAGCTTTTTGCGATGTTGGGCATTCAATAAGTTAAAAGTTAAGTTAATTTTAACTTTTAAACTTAACTAGTAACTTTTGGGTTCCCGTTAACTTAACTTACCTAATTGTTTTTTACTTAACGTGAAACCAACGAATTGAACATTAACTTTAAGAAGTTAAATTAATTTATTTTGTTTTCAATTTTACTATATTATACCTACCTAACTATATGATATGTCAATCATTTTTTTTCTTGTCAAAAATATTTCAAGTAATTTTAGGTGTAAATTGTTTAGTTAATTAACTATTATCGCCATTGATTTTATAATATATAATATGTATTGTAAAATCAATGTTATTCTTCATATTATATTATGAATTAATTGCCTCCACACATACTTACTTAAAATTTTAAAATATAAAAAAAATTAGAAAAAAAACGACAAATAATGATATTTAAATATTTACCATATCTATCATAGAAAATATAAAATAATTATAAAATTAAATAAAAAAAATTAAGAATTAAAGTAAAATTTGAAAAGGTTTATTAATATCTTAAGAAACCATTGAGTAATTTATTTTTGGGGGGCTATTACAAGTTTTATTGGTGCCAAGCACCTCCCAGACACCACCTAGTTGAGCTTATGTTGGCAACAATTGGTATTTCTGTGTTTGATGAAAAACTTCAATGAAACTAGGTATATAGTATTGAATTGGACAAAATAAAGTAGACTAAGTAGTCTGGTAGTAATATATAGATAAAAAAATTATTTCTTAATAAACTTTAAAAAAATTGTGTATTAACTTTTAACTTAACTAACTACTAAGTTAACCAACAATTAAATTAACTTTTAACTGTTTCTTATTAAATATTAACACATATTAATTTGATCAACCCAACTGAGTTAAAAACAACTATAAACTGGCCCAGACACCTTAAATATTTAACTCCAATTTTTTATACTTCAATAATGGTTTAGAATAATTTGTTTAAAAAAAACGTTTTACATAAAATCAACTTACTTTTAAAGACATATTATTAAGTTTGAGATTGAAATATTGAAAAATGGAGTTTAATGCTGCCTGTAGATTATTATAGATAACCTCTATTGTGTTTGTTGAATATTTAATATTTACGTATTGAAGTAGGTATATATATGTCAATACTATGCACATTGAATTATATATAGTAGGTACCTAGCCATTCCCCAATTTCTAAAGTTTTAAAACGAGGAATATTTTCCAGAGTTCGTCGCACTACCTGTTGACCAGCGTTGGATTGCTGTTGGCCACACCAGGATACAGCGAACCCAACTCTATGCAAGACTTAAGGCTGATCGACCAACACCTGCTCAGTACACGTTTACAAGGAATAGTGGACGAAGAAAGCGCTGATGCTGAAGGGAAGAGTGAGGAAGACGAGGATTACGAAGACATGTTGCACATGGATATTGAACAGACGAACGATGCACCTCCGCCATTACCGCCGAGACAATTGAAGTATAAAACCATACAAATCAATAATAATGTTACCTATATTTTATTATTATATTACCAATATGGATCATGATCATCGATCACCCGTGGTTAAAAAGGATCACAATTATGCCATTATGTTATATTTGAATACAACGGATGATCTATTTTGATGATTACAATAATATTAGTACCTAGTACCTACTACCTAGTTAGGCAAAAAGTCATTTTCATGGACGATACCAAATTTGTTCCCGTAATTACCACATTGGTCTAATTGGTTCCCCACTTCCCCATATAGTACCTAAATACCTATGACCTATCTCCTTTCATTCCCCCGCTCGAGAGCCTAACAGTGCCTTGGACACGAATTTAATATGGGGAGGGGCGGGAGCGCTTATAACAGTAAAAAAAATAAATACTTCGAAATATATTACAAGTTATAAACCACCTACCCGGTACCCCCCTCCCCGTGTCAACAGCCCTGATTCATTGTATAAATATATTGTACCTATGTAATTATCATCATTAAAATAACCCCTCCAAATGGGAATCAATTTGGTAACTCCCATTCTAAATCAATTCTTGTCAAAAAAAAAAAAAAATTAAGTAGTTTATTTTATTTTTAAGGAAGTATCTACAATAGACATATAAAACAACCAGATAGCGGACTACCTACGTCTTACATTCCCATAGGAACGTCTGAAGTCGTGCGGAAAAAAGAGCAATGTTTAGCGAATAACTCAATAGATAAGTTACCCATACTGATCAATCATATTTATATGATAAATAATATATTCAACATATATATTAGATATTTTACCAATCATGCAATTTTGTAAACATTGCTCTGTTGGCATATGGTTGCCGACTTCAATATTATCCTGTAGTCGTCTATCTAGTTGTATATACCTATGGTATCTATTTAATACAAAATACTTACACTACCTACCTACTATAATAATATAATATTAATTTTTTGAAAAACACAAAAATCGACCAAACTTAAATAAATCCTTATAATATAATATAATATTATGATGAAATCGCATTGATGTATTCACACTATTGTTTTCTGCAATTATACAGATATGTCACCATGGCCAATCTAGGAGGAAATAACAAATTATACATTTCCGGTCCAGTACCTATATGATATATCTACATGTATATAGTATATCTACTACTTATGTACATAGATAAAAAAAATAAGTATACCGTACATATATTAGAAATAAGTCCATAAATCATGAGGAACCTTTTGTGGACGCCGCTGCCGTCGTCGTTCGAATGTTTGACGTCAAGACCATAAATCCAAACAATGTGGCTGTCGGCTGAACATATTTTGAACACCTATTATTCGGATACCTTTTCATTCCTCCTGCACAGCTCAAGGAAACCTCAGATGAGAATTACTGTCGGATTTCGATTGAAGATAAAAATTATATTATTATGGAACACCGCATGTCCGCATATTATAATAATATTGTTATGAGAACCGCACGCTGCGCCGCGCGAATGTCACGATACCTACAACTGGACAGCGTGTGGTTTAACGCCCAAAACGTTTCGTGCACAAACAATAATATTTTATTGTATTATTTTTACAGTAGTTATCAATTAAACACACACACACACACACACATACATATTATTATTATTGACGTTAAGATCCTGAATAATATACCTATACCATTTATTCGGTCAAAACTTGTAAGGAGAAAAACTAGTTGTATTCTAAATAACAATTTTTTTTTGACATTAGAGGTTATCATTCTCGGTATATAGAGGATATTTTCCCCAGCTTAGGACATTCCCTCCATAGAAAATATATTAAACATATAATAAATGTATATTACTAAGCATCTACCTACCTAATGTCGAGCTATCTCAAAATGTCCACCAAATACTTCAATTAAATAATACTAAATAATATATACCTAGGTAATTTTTGATATTGGACAAATTATATTCTTCTGACGCAAGTTTATACTTGAAAGATCACTTTCAAAATATATGCCAAACGGAACTAGTCAACCATTTTTATAGACGAAACTTACCATAATATGCTAATATGCATAATGTTACTTATCCAAAAAACGTATAGGTATGGAATGCAAATCATTGAAATGCTAATCGCCCAGATCCATGTGCTTAATGAAGTAGGTTAGATACCTATATTACGAAGTGCTATTAATGAATAGCTTCTTCTTCAAGCCAACCATGACCAATGCCTTATAATTGTATTCCCCTCCATTGTGCTTATTGTAATTATATGTTTATACAGATTGTACAAAAAAAAAAAAAAAAATACCTATATATAGGTATTTATACACCGACACACCTTACATGGTAGATTGTAGATGTGTAGTAAGTTTTATAATATAATGTATAATATTTGTATATTAATTATAATATATTTATCGTAATTAAAAATGTTTCGTACCTAACTATTAAGAAATGTATATCATTTATGTAATATTCAGTATATTGTATGGCCGTATGGCGTATCGCGTATAGGAATTTTTCTTACATAATAAATTTATAAGATTATAATATTATATTACCTATAACAAAAATAATACAATTTTATTAATGTGGTACCTAATATATAAGTGTTACTTACCTATGATTTGTACTTGAACCTTAAATAAAAAGACCAGATCTTATCATATAACATTTCCTCGTTGGTTTATCAACAAGGCCACATCTAAAATGTTATCTACTTACAAAAAATATATGTAGATAGGTGCTTCCGTGCCTCAGTTTTGGCTAATTTTAGATTTTAAGCAGAATGATAAATGTATGGGTTTTTTTTTTAATCATGTTTTAAGTGTTTTTAAAATTTAACACTAGGCTCCTAAAATATAATTTTTACGAACTAAAAATTTTAATATATCGTAAACATATTATAACAATTTTTAATTTTACGTGGGTTTGAAGATTTTGACGAAATTGCATCGGACAACAGAAAAAATATAAGAATTTTTCCTCAAATTACTTTAGTTTAGTTACCTTGGTGTATATTAAAAGGAATTAATCACACCTGACACTATTTTCACTATATTACGCATAATATTCTCTAATCTCTATACCTATTACCTACACAAAGTAATTTTCAAAATATTTAGTTAGGTACACTAATTTTAAGCTACCCATGAGGCCATAAATCATACATAGGTAGAATCTATGTATTCACACTATTCTATAGGTATGTGGTAAGCCAGTATTGACCTAAGTTATATATATATATATAAAAAAAAAATCGGTTCAACCTATAGAATTAAGATTAGTGTGTGTTACCAGTACGCGCGCAGGAAGTGAAACTTCTTTTGAACGGTACACGCGAGTTAATATTAATTAATTTAAAAAATGAGAAGTTATCCGGAATTATTTATTATTGATATTTTTATTATTTTTTATTTTTATTCGGCAGATCGATGGATAATTGTTTGTAGTATTGTTTTTATCCAGGTAAAATGTTAGTGAGTGAATTAATCAATTAATAACAATTAATTAAATATACTAGATGCTAACTGATATTGGGCTCTAAGTAGGTATAGATGCTATAATAATCGATCATTAATTATTCATATTAATTAGTATGGGCCAAGATAGATGAATCTATTTTTTATTTTGCAACGTTTATATAATATTTATTCGCAGCATAAAAAGTCACTTAACTAAAGCGGCTCACGACCACCACTTACCTCACAACGCTTGTACCCCCTTTTTTGTTGTTTGATATTCATTATTAAATTCACTCACCAATCTTTTTTCTAGATATAAACAACACTACAAACGATTATCTATCGATCTGGCTAACTTACTTTCATTTTTTGGATTAATTAGTAATAACGAACTGCGAACTAACAAACATTTTGAACGTCAGTACGATATTCTACAAATTTATTACGCAAAATAATATCATTTTAAAACCTATAAATATTACATTATAAAAAACGTTAAACATTTGTTTTATTCATTATTAATTTAAAATACAATTTGAATTATTATTAGAAACGACACATTTCGTATTCACACGTTAGTGTTAGTTGTGATACCAACAAAAATACCTAGGTACACATGGACACGGGTCAGTATTAAACACGTGCAGTTATTAAAATTTAAAATTTAAGAAGACCGACCTATCTCAGTGCCACCGTGACCCGGTGACAAATTTTATTCGGCCCGCAGACAAGAAAAAAAAAATTAAAACCGATAATTTTACTATACGTTCTAGTGTTGTAATTTATTTTTTTTGTTCATTGGTTTTTTCCGACGTAATTAATTTTATTTTAATGGTCCGCGAACAATTAACGGATTATTTATGTGAATACTTTTGTATAAATATTATTTGGTGACCCCTGACCTATAAATTACAATGTTTAAAATGTACAGAAAGTGAGATGTATTGACGAATTTGGTCGAAATTTAAATTTCAAACGTTTATAAAAAAAAATCGCATTCATGTATCTTAAATATTTTTAAATTTCTATAATATAAATTAAGAGTTTTTTAGTCAACAAATTTACATTGTCTATAAATCACTCAAAAAGAGTCAAAATATTTTGAAAATTGTGTCATGTGTAGACAATTATAAAATAAACATTTTATGAAAATTTCAAGTATTTATGGTTATTTGTTTTTGAATTACAACAAAATACCAAAAATGGACTGAGGAAAATAGTTAATTTACAAATGAATATCCAATGTCAAAAAAATATGAACTTCCAACGCACATAAAAATTAATGCGACTTTTGGTAAATTTTTTTTTATCAAAGGTGTTTTCTTATACTTATTATAAATAAAATTTGATAAATGTAATCTTTCATTTATTTTTCATTAATCATACAACAAACGGTTATTATGAACCCTTAAAAACAAATCCACAATTTTCTATACACAAAAAAAAACATAATATAAATAAATATTTGTTACAAAAAAAAAAAAAAATCAACTACAAAAAGTAATATTAATAATAGTAATAATAATAATAATAATAATAATAATTATATAAATAAAGATTATACAATACATCAATAGTTTTAATGCATTTAGAAATTCATACATTATTATATTTTGATAAGTATCAATAAATGTTTATAGACGGATGTCAAATTGACTTTGGTTTTATATAATAGTTGTTTACTTTTATCTTTTTAAACAATATCATATTTCTAAATAGAGCATAATATATTATTATAGCATTCAGTTTATATTGAGTCAGAACATAATTGATTATATCAATGAACACAAGTGTATACACATATATAATATTGACTATAACACTGAATGATATCTAAATTAATAGTTTTTGGAATAACTCTGGTATGCCAAATGTGTGTGTTTTTTGTTTTGTGTAATAAACATTTAGTTATAAGTGATCATCAAGAACTACGGAATGTGTTAGTAAAAAAAAATATACATGTCTGGAATGATATCAATATACTAAACTCAAGTCCAAATTATCCATAAAAGATTTGATAGAGCTTATACATAGTATTTTTTCACCTTGGTCAAAAAACACTTACTTATACAAAATAAGAAAAAAATCCTACATATTATTTTTAAACTCGTGCCTCAAGTTTAGAATGTATATATATTAATTTCTTAGTAGTAGACACTGAGTAATTGTTAGAAATATTATGTTACCATGGATTTCATAGTTTATGAGATTATTTTAGTCTTAGAAGAATTCTAAATCCAATAACTATGTGAACATTTTTAAATTATAAATATATTAGAATTTACTGTTTAAATTAAATTGATTAGGTATTACAAAATAAAATCATGAAAATTCTTAATAATCGAAGAAAAACAACATTAACTTAGTGTATTAACTCTTAATTAGTTTTAGGTGCTGACCTGTCATTGACAGCAATAGACTTTCTTAACACCATACCTTTCCTTATTTGTTCCATCAGTGAATCATGACATGTGGCTGGATCCACAACAGAGTGTCTGGCAGGAGCAATCCAACGTCTGCTTAACTTAGGAGACCCACCTGTTGTTTTAGGTTGCTGCTGTAACAGTCTAGAGCCTAAAGCTGCCATAAACCCAGTAACTGGCTCAGATGAACGGCTATTACAGCGATCAGCACTTGTTGATCGATTACTTGGCGTGCGGCGCAATAAAATGGGACTTGCAGGTGTATGATTGAGTTGCGTTAGATTACGTACAGTTTCGGCCACATTTCCACCAGACGATTTACGTTGATGTGTCATGGGTTCAGAATATACTTTTTCTGATGTTAAAGATGTTTGTGAACGACTTTGCTGACGTTGTTCTGCAGTAATATCTAGTAAAAATGGCGGTGGAGGAGGTAGATTTTGTACTGAATTGTTTAAAATGGACGGTGTACGGCGTATAGGTGGAGGTGGCTTGTTGCTTTGTATTGAAGACCGACGGCACAGTGTACCGCTTCTAAGACTGGAATAACCTGAAAGTAAGAATAAATAAATTACAATACATTTTCTTATTTAATTTAAATGAAAATTATGTATATATAAAAAAAAAAAAATCATAATCAAAAATGTTAATAACAGAAATCAGGAGGAGGGGTTGTTAATTTTTTAAAACAATATTTAAATATAAATGTTTCAAAGAAAAAACTTAACACAAACAAATTGAACATGCAATTTACTACTGTAAAACAAGTTACTTTGTTACTAATACATTTTTTTAGTTATTTTTGTTAATTCATAATTTATGATCAACTCACAAAAATATTTGTACAATTAAATACAATACCTAATCATTGTCTTTATGGTTATGAAGATTACGATGGTTATGAGGGCACAGATTTTAATGCAAATTATGTTTCATACATTAAAGATATAAAAAATAAAAGTTTTATACTGCACTTTTTTTTTTACATTTTAAGTATATTTTGTGAGGATGGATAAAATTTGGTTAAAATTAACCATTAACTATCTCAAAAATAAGAAAATTGGTATACAATTTTTTGTTACATTATATTATTTTTACCTATGTACCGAAAAAAAGTGCCCGTGACTGCACGATGGTCTGACAAAGAAAATTGTTGTCATGTGCTGACATTGTATATAAATATATATATTGTATTATATTATGTTTCGATTGTTTTATTTATGACTTGCAATAATTGCCATAATGCCGAATTACGTGAAACAAAATATAATAGACATTTTTATTAAACATTATGTTAAAAGCAATTTTAAGGGCATTTTGGTTGTTTTTTATAGTATAAATTCAAGCCCTAGAAATGAGTTAATAATTATAAGAATGAACACATTTCAATTTTTTTTTAGTTTTAAAATTCACAATTTAGAAGTTAGATATTTTTTATTCTTAATGTAAAGGAATGTATTTACATTTTAAATTATCAAGTTTAGTTTCAAAACTTCAAAAAAATTAAAATAGGTATTAAAATATAACTATTACAAAATCACTGCATTGGGAATACATACCCAACGTAGATACAGGCCTTACACGTTCTTTGATGGCACTAATATTTCGACTATCCAATGTACAATATTTCAGAAGTGAATTTTCCACTTCTATATAATATACAAACAAACACACACAAGCAAGCACAATAGAATTAGATGAAATAAGAACGATATAAATTACATGTGATTTCTAAGCATTACATAATATAGACATTTTTCATTTAGTCTCTAGAGCAGAGGTTTGGAAACTGTGGATCGTAATTATATTTTTAGTGAACCACATTAAGTTTTAAAATATTAATGTATATCTAAAAAAAATAAAAGATATATTTAATATATAAATACGAGTAAATAGTCAAATGAATATGATATAGTATTTTCTGAGTACACATTGATGTCCAAATTTAATCATATTTTTATCATTGAACATTATCTACAACAATTATGAGTGTACCAGCGACATGCAACATGATTCTATTAGACTAAAAGTTATCGCTAAAATGTATACATTTTCCAAATTGAGTGGTAGTGTGGTACTGTGAAAAGTTTGGAAACCTCTGCTCTAGAGAATAGTAGTTTTGATGATCCATGAAAATACTATAATTCTCTATGAAAAGAATCAAATCAAACATATTTACATTTTATTTTGATTAATTATTTAGTTTATACAATTTTCGAGGCTATTATATCAACTAGATAGCTGTCTTCATGTTATTATTGACGCATACAATTTGTTATTAAAGAAATGAATGTATATTATATTATATTATCTATAGGTATTTTCTGTCGCTATAGCATAAAGCATGTAGTGTTGTTAAAGTATACATTTTTTGTAAACATACACCTATTTGATAACTAATTTCAACACACACCACAGTTTATAATACAAAGACAGCTATCTAGTTAATATATTATTGTTATATAATGTTTCATAACTATGATGATGATATAAAATGATAAGTGAAAAATAAAAATACCTAAAGTAATTTATCATAAATTGATATTAAGGGTTGAAAAGGAATTTGTTACAAGAACCGAAAAATGGAGACTAACTAACAAAATTTGCAGAGATAAAAACAATAAATGTTCAATAATCAATAAAATACTCTTCAAGTCATATGTACTATATAGTAGTAAGTAATGTGCAACTATTTTACTATTTTTTTTTTCAAATAAATTAAATATATAATATAATCACCTTCATCAGGAGTGGCATTTGATATTGCTGTTTGACTACTATAGCCGCTTGAAGACTCCAGGGAACTCTCACTAGTGCTCTCCTTTCGATCTCCATCGCTCTGTGTTTAAAAATGTTTAAATATATTTAATAAAATTATACATATATATATATATATATATATTAATTAAATCTATCCAAAATATTGGCTAAACAATATGTATTAATTTTTTTATTTAAAGTTTAATATGTGGTTTTGTCTACATGTAAGGTGGTATAGTATAGTTATTCAATTGGCGGTGACCAATACCATAAGATAGATTTACTTAAAAAATAATTTAGTGTTTTATAAGTAAGCAAAACTTTTGGATAAATTTGGACATTGTATTGCTGTTTATTATAGTAAAAACAACAACAAATTACTTTCAAATTTACAATTGAAGAAGGCTCATTATGCTGTGCATTTCTTTCTTGAGCTTTGTTGGCAGCCATACTAGCTAGTTCATGCATATTGACATATGTTGGTTGAATATATTCTAAACAAAATATATAAGAATATAAATTATAAAAATCATATATATTATACAATAACCAAAAATTAAAAATTAAAATTACGGAGCATAAGAAAATAAACTGTCGCATATCAATTTACAATTATCATTTAAATAAAAAAATAGTAAATCAGGTTTTAAAATTTAGATTTTGGCTAAAGATTTAATTTCTTAACAGAATTACATTTTTAAGGCACTAAAAGCATTTATTTTGTATGAAACTGTATGAATATTGTACTATCATTGACAATAAATATTAGTATTTGAAATCAATGGTACCTACTATCCATCAAGAAATTAATATTCTTAACTCTATTAAGTCAGTTTAACCAGAAAAGTTTGAATATAAACCTATAAATGTTTGAATCGTGTGAAAAGAAGTAAACCAGATATATTCATTGTTAAACTCTGAATTTAAGAAATATGATGAATATGATATAGTAATGAAAGCCATTTGACTTTTGGTTCTACACTAAACCACCCCAGAAAATGTGATATATTAAGTAATAGAAAACGAAAAAGAACATCTCTAAAGTACTATCTGTGTACAATTACGGTTTCAACATTTTCACTCTGATAAAAATAAAAATTGAATTGAGTAATCTATTGTACAACAAACAAATCCTATCTCTATTCAGGATCTAAAAATGATTATTCATTGTTTTTACAGATAATGTTAACATATTTTAGAACATAATGTAAAACCCCAATGAATAATTACATATTCTACATAAAATGCATAAATTATTATATTAAAAACTACTATAAAATATATAAAAATTAAGAATGCAAATATTTCAATATTAAAATAATATTATAAAAAAATTTCTTCTTTCCTCAAAAATTAAACATAGAAAATGTGTGATTATAAGAACTATACATTTTTTTTACAAACCAATTGTTTTTAGTGAGGTTGGATTATAACTTTTGTGCATATCTCTGGACGGGACATCGGGGACATGAGCGTAATCGTCTTGTGGTGAGACAACAGGGGTTTTATCAATAGAAGAAGAATCAGGTTGAAATGTGTACGCGCTAAGGGCTGGCCGTTGATGGTGGGCAGCACCTGAAATTGTGTGTGGTCTTGCATCATTCATAATGGCTGAAGCAGCACGTTCAAATTGCAATGTTTCCTGAGCATTGGGCCATGTGCCACATCCGCCTTCAGAACTAGCAAATGGTGTAGATGGTGTACTGCTTCCAGCACTGCTACTATTGGAATCAGATGAGTTAGGAGCCTAAGAGTAATAATATATCAATATAAAATAAACTATAAAACAATACCTAATATTAAAATTGTACTTAGTTGTTCTAAAAAATATAATACAGGAGTCAAATACATTCAATTGTCTTTTATTTAGGCACTCACCTTTGAGTATGATTGTTGTTTTGTATAAATTGCGTCTTGGGATGTAAATCCCGAATCACGAGATGAAGCACTGCATAATCTACTAGGAGGTAAAGGTCCTTTGTAACGTAGCTCATTGGATACTGGCTAAATTACCATACACACACACACACAAAAAAAACATGCCAAAATAACTAAATGTAATAAAAAAATAAATAACAAAAATATACAACGCTTGTTTTTAAATAACCTAGTACCAGAGTTTAAATAAAAATAATAATACTAAAAATACAATTTGCATTTAATTTATGGTTGTCGAGCTACTTTAGTATGTTGAATTTCTATGGCAGGTTAAATTTTCTCAAAGTAGAAAATTTACTCGATTTGTAAAATTTTGGAAATAGAATGTTTTTGGTTAATGCCCATTCATTTTTTCCCATTAAGTAATTAAAAATATTTTTTGATTATATATATATATATATATTATGAATTATTCATCATATTAATATAAACAATGATTGAAAAAAAAATAATAGTACCTATAGATAATTAGTTTTAAGTTTGCATTAAATATTGCGTTATTGCATTAATTTTAAATAAAATATAGTTATGTTTTAATTAAGATTTGTACATTCAATTCTATTTCCTGGAGCCATACAAAATTATAAATAATACTTAATTCAACTACAACTGTGCAATGTAATTAATAAAAACACAATGATGCTGATATATAAAAAAAAAACTCATGCCATTGTATATAATTTTTTTTGTGTCGATCAATGTCTGTCTGAATCAATACCTGAAGCAATGAGCGGCTCCAGTATTGATGGCTCGGTGAATGTGTACTGCCGCTAGACCAGCTGTTTATTGAATTGATGGAACACATACTAGATTTACGTGAACCCAACGAACTGGGACTACTTGGGGGTGTTTGGTGTGTCCATGACATTTCACTACCTTTATAGTCAACCAACACCTAATAAACATTAATGCATTAAAACCTTTACAATATATATTTTTTAATGTTAAGGGAATTAGAAATAAGTCATGTGCTGTTATACCCATTTACAAAAAAAAAAAACTATTCAATTTTAATGGAGTAAGTGTAATTGAAAGGAAAGGCATAATAAATATATAACGGACATTTCATGTGTATCCTCCATACAGTACAAAAACTTCATAAATCAACATGCGATAAATAAATATAATGGGTATACATTTATTAATGTCACTAACATCGTTTAGAAAGTTTAATTTGATTGATTTTAACAGAAAAAGTATTTAGCATAACAAATTTTTCTTCTCTTAAACATTACACAAACATTTTCATGACATTTAATTGAATTATTATTAGTCAATCTTCTGAAAGTTCTACTTGAAAATTGAATTTGTTCAAGTTTACGTTATATTTTTTTCAAAGGAACATGTTCATGTTCATGTTTTGAAAAATGAATACATTAATTTGGTGGTTCATTTAAATTATTATTTTATAAATATTAAAAAGTACCAATGTTATAATTAAATCTTATATAATAATAACATGCAAAGTATGAATGTGAACGCGATGTACTGTTAGGTGAACAGCTAACGTCAAGTTTTACATAAACTCTAAGTTCTATTAAATTATTAATTATTAGGTAAGTATTATATGTATTCTATAAAAGTCAGACATTTAACGGAGATGAGATGTGAGATAGTAATTTTATTATTGTTATACATTTGGAAGCATTCATTGCATTCATTGCTTTCAAAATATGTATAAGTTATTTAGTATTATTATTAAAAGTGGCGGTTCTAGCGTATGGGCAGGGTGGGCAGCTGCCCGTACCAAAATTTCTTGTGACCCTTATTGGGGTAGGAGGAGGAAATGAGGGATATTATCCGCAGTTAAAACCTAATTATAAATCTACTATTTCCCATACGAAAATGTAGTCCTAGAACCCCACCTGACAAGTTTTATTTTAACTCCTCATAAAAATAATACAAGTAAAGCTTATTGACATTTATCGAATTTGATTGGAACATTGTATGAATAAATTTTGAACATAACTGTATAACATTTAAAAAAATTAGTTTTTAAAAATATTATTTGATTAATATCTATTTAAAGTTGAGGTAAAATTGATGAAAATCTTTGAATTAAACTTATACCACTAAACTCATTTTGCTTTGAAAACTGATTGTAAATAACATTTAATCTGACTAAATTGTCCCTAAATTGAATAAATTAAATTAACATAACATTGTATCAAATAAACACATGGGGCTGAAAAATAAATCAACTATATATACCTGTTCACTAGCTGGAGGTAATGAGTACGGTTCAGTGGTATGTGCTTCTAATTTATCCATAACTTCTTGTAAATGAGATAATTCCATAAGCATGGCCACTTCTTCTTCCTAATTACACAATTAAATAGACAATTGAGTTGATAACATACTTTTTTTACTGTAAACAATTAACAAAATATATTGAACTTACGAGGACTGGTTTCAAAATTGTTACAAAAATACAATAACGACTTCGTTCTTCGATTAATGCTTCACGAACTGCTCTTTTTTCTGTTTCTTCCAATACAGCTTTTCTGTCAGAAACGTCTTGCAAGGCTTTGTGCAGTTCATTCATTTTAGCACCTTTACGTGCTTTTTTTTGTAAGCGCAGTGTATCCGTAGACCGCTTTTTTAACTCAGCTCTGGCTTTTTTATATTCTGAAAAATGTACAGTAACGATGATTTAAATGAATAAAAAAAGTTATTGGTAATAGTACAATCAGCAGATCATAATTTAATAAATAATTAAAATAACATTATAGGTAAATGTGGTTTAAATTACATTTAAACATCAATGTAATTGTGAAAAAACTGATACATATTTTTTTTTATCCATTTACAACAGTTACTTTTAAATATGTTTTTATGACAAAAATTATTACACCTATGTTTCTGCCGTTTCTGGATTACACTTATTAATACATAATTTATTAATTTTTTTATACATTTATTCAACAGAATAAACACATAAATACAGATCCCCCACGTATATTTAAGTAATTAATAAGTAATAACTAATAAATTATCTTTAGAATAATATATAATGAGTTTTATCACTTTAATTCTTTTTAGGGTTATAATAATAAATAAAACGCATAGCAATAAACAAAATAAATCATCCTATAGCTGGTATAATATCAATAAATTGTTATAATAAATATATAAACCATGAATAAATTAAAATATAATAATTATTGAGAAAAGTATTTCTAAATATGTGAGAAATTATCTGATAGGTTTTCGGAACTTTATATTTAATTCGAACGGAGAGAAAAATTATTTTTACCTACATTTAAATTACCAAGAAAACGGTCATCGGTGCGAATACTGGACGGTTATTAGTTTATTTCTGTGTGTTATTAGGTGGCCAGGTGGGTAATATTGTAATAAATAATATTCTGATTCTTTTTGCCTTCAACCTTGATTTCAGAGTCGTTTGTTTGGTGCAGATTGTTTTTATGTTTTGAACATAATACTTATAGTGAGTAGGCGCATGGGTACACGAATGGTACCTACACAAGCCCAAAAAAATATCATATTATCTAAATCTGTCACATAACATTTAACATTATGGAGATAAATAGCAATAATAAAAAAACGAATTTTTTACTTTTGTCCTAGATACTGCGGGAGACGAAATAAGACAGGTGACATTGGACCCCTAAACACCCAATTTCACCTCTGTGCCCCGAAACCACACCAGGGCCGGGTGTGGTCTAATATAACTCATATCAACGATGCGTAATTTATTTGACAAAGAATTAACGGTTTTTATTCCATATAATATAGTATAGGTATAATATGTTATAACTTATAATTTTATAACATTATAAAGCCCGAAAAGAGAACGTGATATTGAATTCAACATAATATCTTTGAATAGGCGGTGTAGTATATTATATTACATTATATTATAATTATCGAGACATCGAGTGTTTCCACAAACAATTACAATTTATGGTAGGTACCTACTACCTAGTATTAATTATAATAATCAAAATGGTATATCGTTTATATATAATAACGAATTGATAAGTACAATTTTATAATTTCTATCAAACAGTGGCGGATTGAGGGCATAATTTTGGGAGGGGCATGGGGGGGGGGCAAAGGTACAAAAAGTTTCAAAATTGGCTAAAGACGGTGTAAAACAAAGGAATACTGCGGCGATTTGGGGGAATGCCCCCTTTGCCCTCCCCCTAGATCCGCCACTGCTATCAAAACTATTTTGTATAATATTATCTCATATCTGTAACAGTCAAAGACAAAATATGACTTTTAAACTAATGTTATTTAGATTAACAATAATACAAAAAATATATTTTTTAACAATTAAATTATTTACCTACATAATATATTATTAATATTATAATACTCTATTCCTAACAATACAATATAAAAACTGTTTAGGTATTTTACTTATGCGTTTGTACTTTTGAAGTGAAAACTTCTTTAGGAGCTTTTGGCACTTTTTGTGGGTACTGAATTGAACTAATGTGAAACGCTCGGCTATGTAACGCTCATTCGGGTGAAGTCGGCTCGAGTCGACTATTTTTATACGTGGTTATTCAGTGATTATTATTATTTTTATTATTTGATTTAAGTATATCTCTGTCGCGTTTTGACTTGGGTCCCCCGTTTTACCACCAAAAATTCTGTTTCGGGACCCTCTAAATATTCCCCCCGTAATCAGGCTACTTTTGCCCCCCCTAGATACAACTAAGATGCACTAAATTAATTGTAGGTACTTCATCGCATCGTTCCTCATCAATTTCATAATTTATAGTAAATACCTAATAATAATTAGTATATTTTAATACCTAAATTTTGATTAATTTGAATTCTGTGTAATATCTTATTTGACATGCTACAGTTCAATACAACACATTATTGTATATTAAGTACTTTGCACCATAAACGGTATGCAAATAGTGATTACTGGTTTTATTCCAAAATAATCATTAATTCAAATATGAATTAAGTTTGAAAATGTTTTCTGAACTGTATTTACTAATTGGTAACGAAGATGTATATTTTATGTTAATAATGAATAAATTATTTTAAATAATAGATATTAGGAAACCTAAATAATATTATATTAGGTCTTCGACCTTCGTACATTTTATACCTAATGTTGGTACCGATTTTTATACACTCGAGAACAACTGATGAGAAAATAGAACAGCAGAGATTACATAACTGTATTAATAGATTGTTTTTATAAATTATTTTCACAATCATTGCACAACCATTTTTTAACCACAAACTATAATACTTCTCGAATAAAATTGATTAAGAGGATCTCTGTGCACTATTTGTTTTCTATCTCCGAACGACGCGAACACAGGCCAATCCGATTTTTGATTTTATTTGTGAAAATTAATATTAGAGCTAATAGACTCTATAATTAAACTTAAAGGAAAGCATATTATCTAGGGAACTTCATAATTATTGATACTTTAAGTTTAAAGCAAGTTATGAGAATTTTAATATTTTTATGGTATATTTATAAATCACTTTTAAATTAAAATATCAATAAAATCTTATGAAGTGCCCTAGATAATATTTTAGCTTTAAGTTTATTAAATAGCAATAACAATGTATGTTAGTGCGAGAGAGCAAGAAAACAAACAGTACGCTGATATTATTGACTATAATATTCATATTCAATGGAATGAAATATTCGTGATATTTTGGTTTGATTTGTATAAAAGTATGTGTAGTGTGTACATATTATAAAATAGTTTGATTTACCATTTATTTTATAAATTGAATGAAATATGGAAGCTTGCAAGTTGTAACATGTTAATAACTTCAAAAATATGTTTTTAAATATACGACTACTCTTGTAATAAAACGGATTCTTTGTTAGTATTCTAATTATTTGGTTACTGATAATAACTCGCAATATTTCCACTGTAAAAACCAGTTATTAATACATATATTTTTTAAAAATATGACATAATTTAAGTATTATAATGAGTATAAATATCGATGTTATTCACTCACTAGTCTCTATATTGTAAATATATATAAACATATTGTACAATATTACGTTGTATTTTACAAATAACAGTATCTATAGGTATTTGCTTTATTATTTTATGATAGAATTAAATCGATTTGTCCAATAATTACAATCCGGATCACCCATTTGTTGTTGTTGTGGGTATTCATATTTTTCGTTTAAAACAAACATAACGTTTGTACACATGCGATTGCAAAACTATTACGTGATTGAGAAAATACAATTTTTTATAAAAGCGAACGGTGTCTTAATAGTTTTACATTATAAAAAATTAGATATAAACATTAAACAGTCTACAAAAAGAGTTTATGTGGAAAAAATCGATAAACTCCCTATTTATCTGTCGTGTGAAATGTTTAACCAAACATGTGGTAATAAGTATAGAATTATACAGATATTATTGTATTATAAACAGACTCGGCGCGGAAAACAACGTTGCCGTGGCCGCAGCGGTTTGGTGCGCGCGTGGACCGATACGCCTACACCAAGCGCCTCGCCGACGCACAGATGTCGACGGGCAGCAATGCTACAAACCGACAAAAATCGTCGCCATCGCCGCCAGTTCTCTACGTGAGCGTTTAATTTTTTTTTAATATGAATTTTACTTTGTGCGTATTAAGCTTATATTGACCTCTTGTTATATTGGGCACAATATGTCCTCGGTGTGCATTGTATAATGTTATAATAACAACCGAGAAACATACATTAAGATTAAGTGTTGAATTAGATCGGCAGGTAGAAAACTGCTGCCACAACAACAGTTTTTATATTTTAGGTATCAACTCTACTTCCGGGGAAAGTTTTGTATTTCGCTTTTCGGTAATCCTCCAGGTCAATCATACACAATATAGGGGCTCATTGAAAATAATCAACTTAAAAATACTAAACAGAATATATAGTTAATATTATATAGCCACTAAAAATCAACCATCATATATACGGTCTACACATGACATGACGTAATGCGTAGATACTATCTTCCAATAACAAAAACTATACGTCTTGCAATCGTTTTAAGTTATAATTTGTAATAAGTATTATGTGTACTATTGCAAAAGAAAAAATTCATCGAATTCCTTATGGCTGTTATCCAAAAGTGGTATTTCGAGAAGAAGGAAAATAAGCATTTAAACACAAAGATAAACATTTTAATCATTCATAATGATATTCATTGGTAATAAATAATAATATTATGTTTGTTGTAATATCAAGCATACCTACTGTAAAATTAAGCCAGCAATTTTTTAATCATATAATTTCAAATTATTAAACAAAAAGATTTATTCATTAATTAATTAATAAAAATATTTTAAAAAGAAGTAGGTACTTATAGACAAAATAAGACTTTTATTTTAGAAAAATTTAAAGTTTAAATCACAAAACGATATTTAAATATTCTGAATTCATAATGTTAGGAGAATGTCTGCGCACTATTTGTTTTCTCTCTCTGGCCCACGCGCAACATAGACAAAACGCATTTACGAAGAATCATTTTTTCTATGTTTTTAAGTAATCTTAGAGTAAAATCACCCATACCTAACAAAAAAGATAGAGAATAATATTTTTGAGCGAATGACATACCCATCAATTTGTCTAAATATTGTCCCAAAACAATTTAAACATAATTTAAATGTACAAAATGTTTTTGTTTATTTTGAAAGTCGAATACAAAGTCAAATAACAATAAAATATAAAACCGTATGTCATTCCTTCAAAAATATTATTCTCTATTTTTTTTGTAATGGGTGATCGTACTCTAAAATTACTTAAAAACATAGAAAAAATGATTCTGCGTTAATGCGTTTTGTCTATGTGCGCGGGTCAGAGAGAGAAAACAAATAGTGCGCTGACAACCTCTTAAGTTTTATGATTTTAATATTTATTTTAATACATTATTATTTATCACTCATCTACTCACGATAATTATTAAATAAAATATGTCAAAAATAATTAACTATTCATTCTGAGATTCCAGATTCCGAACGGAGTGTGTGTTTTTTTTTTGCCAGCACCTTTTGAAGCAGTAAAAATACTTCGATTTTCAATTTTAAGGGTGGTCCCTACTAGTAGCAAATTTAACCTTGTCGATTATTTAACTCTAGGTATTTTAGTTAAAGTTCTGCTCGGTATAGTTTTTTTTCCAAATTTCTAATAAATCATTTCACCAAGTATAACAATCTTGCATTGAGGTGAAATAAGCAAAAAGACTCTACAACTATCATCAACGTATTTTGGTTTATACATAATATATCATTTTTGGTTTTAAGCCTTAATATATTCATACGAGGTTCGTTTACCAAGTAAAAATAACGCTGCTTTAAACTTTCATTTTAAATACAAGTCTATACACATTATCTAAAAATTATTTAATACAATTTCAAAAAATATAATACTTAATACTGTATATTATACAGTTAAGCTATTGTACCTACCTATGCGTATTGCAGAATAATCATTATTTACTTACAAATACAAAGCATATAGTACTATTATGTACATAGATAAGAGACCAAACCAAATAATGGAATAGGTTATAACTAGGGTTAGGATGTTGTAGCATTTTGCATATTTTTTTAGTGAGTCCAAAAGATAGCTTAGTAAGATAAAAATCTGTTTCATATACTGGGAATTAAAAATGTGCTATTTTTATTTTGCATATTTTTGCATATTTTGAAGATTTTTTAAAAGTCATGATTATTTTAGCATTTTGGATTTTTAATGCATATTTTTGAGTTTATTTGTAAAAATTTTGGTTTTCAATCGCCGTAAATGTTCACCCAATTTTAAACGCGCGTGATATAGCGGACAAGAACAATTTTCATCTTCGAAAACTTGAAAAAGACGTTGATTATCCAATGCAATTCACATTTTAATGGTAAGTCAATTGAAAAAATTAATTTTAAAATAAAATAAATATCTAAAGTAAATAATTTATTCAATTTTGTTACAGAAAATGAATTAAATGTTTTTTCTTCAATTTTTTATTCGTCGATATTTTTAAGATTGAATTCAATTTAATTTGGTTGGTAAGTCAGTTAAATTAAAAATGATGTTTTAAACGTTGTAAATATATTTTTGACTTATAATTTAAATTTTTAGCACTTTAAAATTTTTTTGACCTCTAATTTTTTGAATAAACGTTTTTATATAATTTTTTTTATAAATGCATATACCAACTTTTTTTGGAGCATATTTAAGTAATTTTTACAACATATCAGCATATTTTTTAGGAAATATTTAATAGTTTTTTAGAGCATATAAATCCTAACCCTAGTTATAACCGTTATATGTATAATAAAAGTAAAACTGGCTATCCAACTTCTATCAAACACATTATCAGAGAATGCTGCAGACACACAAGAGACCCGACAAAAATTCGACATACCCCACCACCTTCGCGACATAACTAGGCACCAACGAAGATTCCATTAAAAATATTTTATTATTTAAGAGAGATATCAAATTGTACAATTTAGCTTAAATAGTTTAAGTATGTAATACAAGCCAATGGCTCTGTTATCGAGGCTTTAATTTAAATAAAAAAAGGAAAACTATTTAAAATGTAAAAAAAAATTCAAACTCTGTGATAAACAATACAAGAAATAATTTATGTAAACGAGAATGTTGGATTAGTATTTTGTTCATTATCGTTATAAGAAAGACAACAATATTATGCTAGTTGGCTTTATTGACAGAAAATAAAGAGTATGCGTATTTTATCTGAGTCATAAAAATGTCTTGTATGTATGCAAATTTAACTCAATAAACCATATTAATAAATTCATCAGTGTACAATTTCTTTAGAAGACATAATATAATATGTTTAAACTTTATTTCCAGATAATAGATTGGAAATAGAAATATTTTTAAATTTAAGTTGGAATATCATGAAAATACCATAGCTACTCATGTTAATATCGATTATCAAAAAATATTATATTCATTGTGTAACAATAGGTATGCTAATATATATATATATATATGTACAAAATTTATTTTAATATTTTTTATAAATTATATTAAATGTCCATACACATTCGGGGAAAAATAACTTATATTACATATTTTGTAAAATCGTGGTATTCCGTAGGTAACCATGGCAACAAAATTGCGTTAGGTGAAAACTAAAAAAATATACCTAATATAAAATTTGTAATTAAATTTTTAAGTTCAAAGATTAAAATATTTAATTGAAATTTGAAATATCAATAAAATCATATATATTTTAGTACCTACCTAGGGACTATTATATCATGAATATTTCATTCACGGGAAATAAAAATTAATAATATTAAAAACTGCAGGTGTATGGCCACCACGAATAAAAAGTGTCGTTAACAATACATTGTTCATGTTCTTTAATTTGGCAAATCAATTCATGTTAATCGACATTCATATTTTGTAGGCTTTTGTAAGCAAACTTCATAAAATTGGTAAAAAAACATACAAAACTCTCGTTTGGCACGGTTTAAAAAGAAATATCTACATTGGGTCGTGAGAGATGAAAACACATTCGCTTGTCACTGTGTGACCTATATTCATGCTCACAGAAACTCGTTAATTTAAAATTTACGAGTTATGAAGAAATATTATGTTTTAAGATTTTTTTTAGTACATTAACGAATTAGATATTTATAGTTACTATAGCACCTAAATAACAAAAAAATCGTATTAGGATTAAGTGCAAATATACTATACAAAGGTATGTAGGTACTATATTTAAAATCAAGTTTGTTTCAATATTAATTATTAATGACACTTTTACGTCCGGACGGGTTATGAGCCATAAGAAAAATATTCTGGTTGTTTATGGTTGGATTGGTCAAAAATTAAACTTATAGGTATTGTAAATTTTACATTTACGTTTTAACGAAAATTATATTATAAGTAGTACAATGTACCAACAATTAGTACATTCATTCAAAACTATGTTTTTCCCCAGGAAACGACTACCAGAATTAAAAAAAAAAATACGGACTGGGTCTGAGCTGTTACAAAATGTTAGTTTAAGTTTCAGGCCGGTGCGGAACAAAAACAATGGTCTGTGCCGGTCTCTATAATAAATAGATTATAATTTATAATAGATAGAAAAGGCTAATACAGATATTTAGATTATATCTAAATGACACATATTATGTCGCATAATATACAAATTCAGTTTTTGACCAATAGGCACCAAATTGTCTTACAACTGTATAGGCTTTAATTTTATCGCTTTTAATAAGAGATAACACATTTTACCAAAAAACATGTAGGTATTTTACAGATTTTTTTATCAGGAATGTGCTTAAATATGCAAAAATATAGGGTATAAAAGCAAATAATTTATATCATCGCATAATTTAAATCATATAGCATAGTCTATTAACAGAAATATAGAATATATATATATGAATTAGATAAATATAATATATATATATAGTAGTTACTAGTTAGGTATATACTATAAATAAATTATAGCTCGATTCTTTAAAAAACTTTTCTTGGGTTGGCTATATTTTTTTTTTTATGGTACTCATAGGTATTATTTTAGGTGTTATACTATTATTCGATTCCTTTTTTATTAATAATTTTAAAACTGAACATGTCTACATAGTTCATATTATTTTATATAATTATTAAATATATATTTATATATACATATAGGTACCTAATATATTAATCATCTAACATTTGATATTGGTATTTATTTTAATTTAGTATTAACATCGGGTTGAATAACCCTATCTTCAATAATTAATGACTTTAAATTGAAATACATATTTATTATTTATATTTCAAATGTTTCACACTAACTATACATTCTTTACAGTTCAATGTTTAAAAAACCATTTTTAGAATTTTTAAGATTTTACCATGCTTTTTAGCTTTATATACCTAATTTTAATGTTTTTAAGGAAAATATTATTTTAAAAATGGGGACATAACATTGGGTTTATTTACCTTTAGCGTGCTCTTTGTCCAGATTGACAATAGTCTTCTTCCAATCTTCTAGTTTCTCTTGAAGCGGAACCACCAAACAGTCCATTATTGCGCTGCGAATTCAACAGAAAAAAAAACGTGTTAGTTTCGGTTACGTTCAACTCCTGTCATATGAAGCATACACAATATTTGATTTAGACAAGAAGATAGGTGCCAATGGTTATTACTCGAAAATCACGTAAATTATAGTCCATTCAGACTTATTTTATATTTGCAGCATTTATAATAAATTATTATTATTATTATTTTATATTATTTATGTCAAACATTTTATTATCTTGTTTAAATAAAAACATGGTTAAGTTTTAAATAGGTCTAAAATATAAAAGAATTTAAAATATATATATATATAAAAAAAAAATAATATGTACCTAAAATAAATATTGAATTTTTATGAGAATATTAATCTATGTAAATACTAAATTATATAAAATTATACTTCATTGAATTGAGACGATCGTGATAGTAATAAGTTAATAAAAAAAATTGTATAGGTATACAATAAGAATATATTAGGTATAATAATTATTATTGTAAGGTACTAATAGGTACCTATTATTATTTAATATCTACGTTTTTTTTCATATAGGTAGACAATTAACTGCATACAATATTAAACGATTCAAAATGTGTATTCACGATAACGTGTATTGTATTAATATAATTTATAATTTATATTAGAGTATTACCTTGAAAATGTTTTCATTCTAGCTTCAACAGCCCTATGACGAAGACACATTCTGGTCAAAGCAGTTCCAATTTCTTTAGTAGCACCTATAGAAAATAAAAAATGTTTTAAAATTGTTTAGAAAAATAGTCGAGGAAATTAAACACAAAGTAAGTACCTATTTCATACATATTTAACAAGCGTTAACTATAGCATCCATTTTAAATATTATACACTTATACATAAGATAAAATTAGGAAAGTATAAATAATATTCATTATGTTAAATCAAAAATTCCATCTGAATTAAGATAATCAATACCGAATCAATAGCGAAGTAAATATTATGATTTTGAGCCTTCATACCGTCATAGAACATATAATAAATTATCTATGGTGAGTGGGATAAAGTTTTTTTGAAAAAATGTCGGTAAAATTTGCTTTTTGTATAATACCTATATGTTGTTACAGATTGTAAATATTCTTTTAATAAAAAATAAAAAATAATACAATTAGGGGTGCTCAAATATTAAGAATAACCTAGCAAGCATGAAAATCATTTTTGGGGTAGTATTTATATTTTTTCCAAAATGAGCATCATGCACATGCATAATTATTTGAGCCATTTGAGGGTTGTTCGAAAATTCGGTAGGGGGATCCAGGTCGTAAAATTCAGTATGAGGGTTAGAATCCCCTGGAAAATATACTAATCGAGGGTGACTATATCTGGGGATGAAACGACTGACTAACCCAAAATATTCGATACATGAAAACATTAGAATAAAATCGGTAGTGCTTATCACGCAGTTGGTAACGATCGTTCAAATGGAAATCCTTTCCGGAAAGGAAACAATGCTATTTACTGGACAGCATACCATTTGTTTATACTGTTGATGATTTGCTCTAATGGTTTGATTAAGCCAAAAATATTTTTTGTTACCCACTGAATAATTACAACCATAATATAACCTTTATTTCCTGGTGTAAAAACAATATATACTTTTTTACAATGAAGAATAGTGTCAGCGTTACTGAGAAATAATATATTTTACGTAGGATAATATATTTTATACAACTATTCTGCTTCTGTAATAGTTATAGAGAACTGATTAAAGAACAAATAATAAAAACGATTGCCTTGTCTATTATCCCACTCATCGTTACATTCGTTATAATTTTAAAAACAAGGAAAATGATGAAGGCTTAAATTCCTAAGATTTCGAACAAACGAATATAACTATGATGATATTATGTTTTAGATTTTTAAAATAACATAAAACAAAATACTAAGTCATTTACATATAATATATTATATTGTTTATGTATACACTAGAAGTAATTACCTACGCCTATCTAATTTAACTATTAAACAATTCGAAATGAAATCGAGTTGTTGTAACTGTATAAGTAAATCAAGGAATCGTACATTTTAAATTTCAAAAACGTATTATAGCTATACGTATAATTTACTTATACTTAAATATTCAAAATTAATTAAAAAATGTTAGACAAATCGCATTTAATAAAATAAATTAACTATTTAAATTAATAAATATACGTTCACCATAATTTTTAAAATGATTTGATTCAATGGCATATAAAAAAAAACTAAATAAT